TTTTTTTTGCCAAACAACACTGACGGTGACGCCGTCCCCGTGCGGTCAGACGCACCTTCCTGTGCGCCTCCGGCTTCTTTTGTCCTGGACGCTTCGTGGGAGCGCCCGGAGCCCCAGCGCCTCGTGCAGCATGGACAGTGCCGTCGCCGCGGACTTTGTGGTGTTTGTTGTTCCGACGATGTGTAATCGTTGTTATTTTCTCTTGATTCCGATGTCTCTTTTCAAAGCTCCCCCCTGGGTCTGTTGTCACACATGCCCACAGGGTGATGGCACCAGACGCTGGGATCCCCAACATGAGGAAGGTCCTGGGGCCGGGCTATGGAAGGGGCTGGGGCATGCCCCCTGCGGGCCCTCCCGCCCCCTCCCAGCAGGCTGTCGTCTCTAAGCTGTGAACATTTCAGGATAAATTAATAGTGGAGAGAAAAAGACGGCTCGGCTATTTTTTCACAGGTTTACACTAGTTGAGCTAATATGAGTTTCTTTGGAAATTAATCACAAATGGTAACTTATATTCCAAGACCAGACCCATCTTGTTGCCTCTTGTGATTTAAAAGAAAAAAAAAAAAAAAAAAAGAATGCTGTATATAAAATATTGGGTATTNGTTAAAAAAAAAAAAAAAAAAAAAAAAAAGAATGCTGTATATAAAATATTGGGTATTGCAGACCAAATTAAATGTTTTTGCCTTGTTTAAATGAAATGCATGTTTAGTGAGCACTAATCCAATCTTATTACAGAGGACTGTTTCTGGTAGCTTATTGTGGAGTAAGCCAACTATAATGAATGTCTGTGTCTTGTTTTAAAGTCATATCTGTCTTTGCACAAATGCACCAATCAACAGGTATATTTTATATATTCCAGAAAAGTACAAAGTACTCATGACTAGCCCAAACTTAATTCTGAATGTTTTCCCAGAGGAGCAGTGCCTGGAGAACAGAAGCAGGGCAGGTTGAGGTGGGAAACATCTATGGGGGCACCAGAAGGTTAATCTTATGAGGGGTGTGAGGTCACGGATTGCCCACCAGCCCAGCAGCTCATTGGTAGCATCACATTGGAGGTGTGGTGTTGTCTGAGCAGGTCAAAATTCTGTAGACTTGGAAAAATAATAGTATAAATTCTCGGGACCTCCCAACGGTTTAATCCACGCAAATCTGGTTAGCGAGCCGTCTCTGGGAGGATGACTTCCCACGCCCCAGCTGGCCCCACGGACAGTCAGGGGTGGGCCAGTCATCTGATTCATCGTGGAGAAGGCATGGGCACGTGCGTCTGTGATTTCCAAGGCCCACTATGGAGAATCCGAAGGTGTTTTCTGTCCCTGTGTTCTTTGAATGCAGATTTCTTTTTCCAGAAGTGACAGCACAAATTTGAGTTGCTGTTTGGTCTGGTGACCTCGTACACAGTAATTTGAGTTGAAAGAGTAAAAATTGCTGGTCATAGGGGAGTCATATTTCAGTAAGCAGTAGGCAGCAGGAAACCCAAACACTCAAGGGTGTAGATGGGCAGGACCTGCCCCAAGAAAAGGCCGAGGGGTCCCCAGTGGGTCTGTCTGCTGCCACGTGACTTCCTGTAGACCGAGGACCACAGAAAGGTAGACGTCATAACCACCAGGAAGATCATGCTGAGCCCATTCTAACCTCAGGATTCTCATGTATTACTTGAATCCATTTTAACAGGTAGCAAAAATCCAAATTTGTATGGTTGACCAAAATGAACCAATTTTGCAGGATGGCATTTTGAGACCTGGACTCAGTAAAATAATTTTAATCTCCTCTGAGTGTCAGTTTCTCATAGTGGTTTTATACTGAGACTTGCCAAGTTCCTCCATGGCCCAAGTGGTCAAATCTAGTTTTGAAAAATAGAGAATGAACCTAATTCATGGAGGACAGTGTGGGTGGGGACCTGAGCACCTCTACCGAGAGTGTTCAGGAGGCACACCTCGCCTTCTCCGGATCTTGACTGAAGACCGAGTTCCTCCTTTTACTTCTCCTTAGAGGGCGGAGTGAGTTAATGTTTGGGAAAGCCACCTGGGCTCTGCCCTTGGTCGTGATATCTTGTTGAGCCAGACTCACTTTTTCCCCAGAACCTAGAGCTGGAGTGAGGAGCAGGGAAGAGGGTCTCCAGCTGTTTCGGAAAGAAAACAAGAGCCAGACGCACGGCAAATGGACGCCGACACGCTGGGATGCTCGGAAATAGCCCGCATCCCGGCCTGCCCTCGACCCTGTCTGTGATTCCTGGAGGGCTGTTTTGCTTCGCCCCCTTCCCGGGAAGGCCTGTGTATGTCTAAGGCAATGCATTCGTTTGGGGCCAAGGGACTCTGCAGAACACAGAAAGCTGGATGCCTAAAGGTTGATGTCACTCCTTGCTGGGCTGTACATTGTCACTGCTGTGTTGAGGGACCTCTGGAAATGGATTCTGCTCTGTCTGCAATCAAGCCAGCCTGTGATGTTCAAGGGACTGGAATAAAGTGGCTTCTAAACTGAAGGAGATACAGAGTGGTTGACTGTTCATATCCTTGGTTAGGGTGGGGGAGGGGTGCCGAGGGTGCGGTCCCACAGGTGGACTTAATAATACTTGTACTTACAGATCCCATCATACGGCGTGGACCCTAAATCGGTTGACTTTGTGTCGCTCTAGCTTGGCAGTCAAGCCAGTCAAGCATGCTGAGTGTTTAGTATTGTTTAGGACACAGGTTTCCATGCCCCACCGAATCTGTGCCTGTGTGAGGGTCCAGGTGCCAGTTCTGGCCTCCTCCTGGGTATGGTTTCTGCCCTTGAGAGACACAAGGAACCAGAGTTTGTGAAAGGGGGGATGGGAGAGGCTGCTGAGCCCCAAGCCCCATCCAAAAGCATCCTTGGTCTACACTTGGGCTTCCTTGGTCCACTCATGGCCTTCACTTTCTCACCCCCTCTCCTTGCTCACAGCTGGAGATTCAAAGTCTAGTTCTAACATTAGGTGCAATGGAAGGAGAAACAGGCAACCTCCTCTTCAGTGGAAATTAGTATCCTCACCCCTCTCTGCACCTCTCAGTGTGGAGGGGAGTCAGGAGAAAAGATGACACGGTACGGAGCCCACACCCTCAAAACCGTTTCGGATCAACTGTGTGTTGGTTTTTGTGTTGGTATCATTGGCCGTGTCCAGCACAGGCCGATAATGTGGGAAATGAAGCAGGGCTGAGTGTCGGCTGTAGCAGGGCCTCAGGGCCAACTAGGCCTCACGGAGAGGCTGAGCCGGCCTGCAGCGGAGCCCTTTCCCGCTTTACCCTGTTTCTCTTTATGAACCAGCGATGGCCCTGACGCCCGTGAGTACTGAGCATGGATAGCAGCGTGTCATTCGTGGCAGTGATGGTGAGAAGGTGGCTGGGAGCCTTCAGCTATTAGGAACCTGCAGTCCCACACTTATTGTGGGCCAACCTGGCAATTTCCAGCAATTTCCAAGCCTGAGGCTCCTATTCCCAGGGCATCGTCCCAGTACCCCGAGGTGCTGCCTCGGGGCAGGTGCGGAGGCCAGCTGCACCCTGAGAAGGGCCTGCTTAGGCCAGGGGGACTGGATTCAGACTCCCTACTTAGACGGGGAGCGTGGTTCACGGCAGAGTCCCCGGGGCCCATTTCTGACCCCACGATCTCTCCAGAAGCCTCAGCAAGCACTTCTCTGAAGCGCCTCTTCTCTGCCCCTGGTCCAGGCACAGAGGCTGCTGCGGACGCGCTGGGTGTGGCCGGAGAAGGCGCCCTCAAGGCACGTTTCCCGCGAGGACTGGAAAGCGAACGGGGAGCGGGGGTGGGCGGTGGGAGAGCAGAGAAGCGCCGCTTGTGTGGCACCGAGGCTCCCGGGAGACAGGAGGCCCTGAGTGGGGGCCGGCGGAGCGGGTGGCCCGGCGGGTGGGCGTCCGCTGAGGAAACACAAACAAATCCGGGGACAGCGAGCGGAGGCGATGGCATCGCACCGGCAGGTGCTGGCGAGCCCGTGGGTTCCAGGAGACCGAGGTCCCAGCCACGTGGTTCTGGCCTCTCCGCAGAGGTCGGTGCAGGTAAACTAAGGAACCAGAAAGCTCTGTGCTAACACGAGGGGGCCGAGGGGGCTGAGGGGACCG